CCCCGTATCCTTTCTCATCCTTTCTAAGTATTTCATTAATCTCCCCAATTTATTTTACTTAATTTAAAAAGTGGCACGGTCGTAGTATTTAGAAATCCGGTTGAGTACATAAAAGTATCAATATTCCATAACAACCCATAAGAAACTAAAAACACCACAAGACATCACAAATATCAATCAAGTGACAAACAACCACATACTACACAAGAGATTAACTATCATCACACATCGAATTATGCATTCATGAATGTTTACCCACATATAACCATAATTCCAAACAAGACTAGTAAAGATCCATTTAATTCCTATATTTTCCTTAAGCTACTAAATCCCAAAATTTCTTTACTAACACATTTAGGAACAAGAAAACATATTAGCTTAGAAGATTTCGGGTATTCAGCACAATGCCCCTAAATTTCTGGAAATTACAGTTTTGACCCCAAAAGTTCAAAACTCACACATGCAATTAACCTAAAAGTTCCTCATCCATATTTTCATGAAATTCAACCCTTAACTCCTCTGAAATTTAGATTAATGCAGAAAGTCCAGCTAGAAGTTATTTTATGCAGATTTTTCGAAAATTACATATTTCACCCTAGACTCTCTAGATCTATACATGCATGACCCTTAGAAATTCCCAAAAATCCTTTTTCTTACAAAACTTCTTAGAAACTGAAATTGTCTTTTACTAAGTGCTGAAAAACAGATTTGGAAAACCATTCAAAATTAACTTCTCAAAAATTGCAGATTTGCCCCAAAAATCTTTCGGATTACACATGCATCCATACTAAAATTTCAAAATCCATTTCTTCATAAACAACCCCAAAAAATCCGAAATCTTTGTTCAATATATGCAGAAGAACGAGACTAAAAACTTGATTTATGCAACAACTTCGAAAATTCTATTTTTCACCTTAAAAACCTTTAGATCCACACATGCAAGACCACTAGGAGTTCAAAAATTTACCACCTTGAAATTTCTTTGAAAGCCACCAACTCAAATCTACCATTTAAGACCTCTGATCATACATGCAATAACATAAATCATATAAACTAACACAAAGGAAACATTAAATGCAAGAACAACATAAAACAAGAATTAGGGGTGTCTTTTAATTAATTTCGAAATTTTGTTCTTGATACTTGATACCTCCATTTGCAGCAAGGATTTCGATTCCTTACCTAAAAAATATAAAGGAATAAAAGCTAGCTGAAAAGGGGAAGGTTCTAGGGAACCTCTTCAAGCATTGAGATTCAACCAAGCTACTTTGATATGGAAGGACACGGTATAGATTTCAAGGTGAGAGGTGTTTTCACTAGTGAAAGGACACCGTGTATTTATAGTATTCTTGGAGTATTCAAGGGCAAGGGTGAGATAGGGAATTCTCATCTTTGGCTTGAGAAATATCTTGCTGATTTTAGGGGTGGTTCGAGCTTGGTGGAGCTGATGGCAATGGTGGTTTCGGTGGTTTGAAGAAGGAAGGAACAAGGGAGAGAGAGAGAGGTTTGATGCAGCCGAAATGAGGGGGAGAGAAGGAGACCCTTGGCCTTCTAAATAGGCATGCTTGAGGTGGAGTGTAGGATTGGTCTCAATAGGGGTTAGGCTAGGCTTAGGATTATCAATTATTTATTTTATAATTATTTAATAATCCTCCCCTAAATTACACACACATATACGGCACACATATACATACACATATATTATGTATTATGGAAATTATGCTAAGTCCAAGAATGCATGTATAACTCACCCGTAAACACATATGCACATAAGGTCACGTATAAAATACGATATCTAATAATCCGGCACATAATAATTCATGTATAGCCCTATCATTAGCAAAATTTAGTATTTAAGTGACGAAAGATTTATTGTTTAGAATTTATCGTGTTTTGAAAACGTGGGGTGTTACAATCTTCCCCCCTCAAAAAATTTTGTCCCCAAAATTTGTTACCTGTCCCGAATAATTCGGGATAGAGACTTCTCATTTCTGATTCGCGTTCCCATGTAGCTTCTTCGGGGGTGTGGTTGTGCCACTGTACTTTGACTAGGTGAATCTCGCGGTTTCGAAGTGTTTTGGTTTTGGAGTCGAGAATTCGGAGGGGTTTTTCTTTGTATGAAAGGTTAGGATTTAGCTCAATAGGTTCAACTTTGAGGACGTGTTCGGGGCTGGAAATGTATTTGCGAAGCATGGAGACGTGGAATACGTTATGGATTCGGGATAGATTCGGTGGAAGTGCTAGGCGGTAAGCGCGACTGCCTATCCTCTCGAGTATTTCGAACGGTCCGATATATCGCGGAGATAGTTTGCCTCGGTTTCCAAATCGCAAAATTCCTTTAAAAGGGGCTACTTTTAGGAATACTAACCCTCCGACTTCGAATTCCAAATCTCGCCTTCTATCATTAGCGTAGCTTTGTTGTCGGTTTTGGGCAACTCGCATATTTTCTCGGATGTCTCGAACTAGGTTCACCGTTTGTTGAACTAGGTCGGGTCCGAGAAGTTTTCTCTCTCCAACTTCGTCCCAGTAGAGGGGAGATCGGCACTTGCGTCCGTAAAGTGCTTCATATGGTGCCATTCCGATTGATGATTGGAAGCTATTATTATACGCAAATTCGATTAATGGTAGCCGAGATTCCCAGTTGCCTCCAAAGTCGAGTATACAGGCTCGAAGTAGGTCCTCAAGGGTTTTGATCGTACGTTCAGACTGGCCATCGGTTTGGGGATGAAAGGCAGTGCTGAAAGATAATTTGGTTCCAAGAGTTCCTTGCAAACTTTTCCAGAATTTTGAGGTGAACCGTGGGTCTCGATCCGAAATAATAGCCGTCGGAATTCCATGGAGTCGAACGATTTCTCGCATATAGAGTTCTGCGAGTTTATCTAAGATAAACGTCTTACGGATTGGAAGAAAATGAGCCGATTTGGTTAGCCGGTCGATGATTACCCAAATAGAGTCGGATCCGCGCTGGGTCCTTGGAAATCCTTGAACAAAGTCCATTGTTATCACTTCCCATTTCCATGCGGGGATTTGATTTGGTTGTAGTAATCCTCCGGGTCGTTGGTGTTCAGTCTTGATTTGTTGGCAGGTGAGACATTGGGCAACGAATCGAGCTATATCTTTCTTCATTCCCGGCCACCAATATAGTTTATTCAAGTCTTGGTACATTTTGGTTGATCCAGGATGACATGTATATGTGGTCTGATGTGCCTCGGCTAAGATGAGTCGTTTAATTTCGGCATCGTCGGGAATGCAAGTGCGGTTTTGGAATTGGAGAAATCCGTCTTTGGAAACTCGGAAATTAGGGTTTGCTTCGAGGTTTGTGCGAATTTTCCGAAGTTGGGGGTCTTGATCTTGAGCTGTCCTTACGCGGTCTCGAAAATCTAATTGAACCACTAGGGCGTTTATCGACTTCCGACTAAGGGCATCTGCCACAACATTCGCCTTCCCGGGGTGGTATAGGAATTCGCAGTCATAATCTTTAACCAGATCGAGCCATCTTCGCTGCCTTATGTTTAATTCCTTCTGTGTGAAGAAATACTTCAGGCTTTTGTGATCGGTGTAAACGGTGCACTTATCGCCATAGAGGTAGTGACGCCAGATTTTAAGTGCAAAGACTACTGCTGCGAGCTCTAGATCCTGAGTTGGGTAGTTCTTCTCGTATTCCTTGAGCTGGCGGGACGCGTAGGCTATCACTTTTCCGTTTTGCATAAGTACAGCACCTAGTCCGAGTTTGGATGCGTCGCTATAAATTACAAACCCTCCGGATCCATCAGGTAGTGAAAGGATTGGAGTGGTGGTCAAGCGTTTCTTTAGTTCTTGGAAACTAGCCTCGCAATCTGGGGTCCATTGGTAAGTGACCCCTTTCTTCGTGAGTTGAGTGAGGGGTGATGCGATTTTCAAAAAATCTTGAACGAATTTGCGATAGTATCCGGCTAAGCCAAGGAAACTTCGTATCTCCCTTACATTCTTTGGAGTGGGCCAGGTTGAGATTGCTTCTATTTTGCCGGGGTCGACGGAAAGTCCTTCGGCAGAGATGATGTGGCCAAGGAAAGTGACTCGGGATAGCCAAAATTCACATTTACTGAACTTGGCGTATAGTTGATGCTCTCGGAGTGTTTAGAGTACTATTCGTAATTGGGAGGTATGTTCTCCTTGGGTTTTGGAGTATATAAGAATATCATCGATAAAGACTATGACAAACTTGTCGAGGTACTGATGAAAAACTCGGTTCATAAGGTCCATAAAAGCGGCTGGGGCGTTAGTTAATCCAAACGGCATTACTACGAATTCGTAGTGGCCGTATCGAGTTCGGAAAGCAGTCTTAGGAATATCAGTTTCTTTGACTTTAAGCTGGTGGTAACCTGACCGAAGGTCGATTTTGGAGAAGACGGATGCCCCTTGGAGTTGGTCAAAGAGATCGTCGATGCGGGGTAGAGGATATTTATTCTTTATGGTCACCTTATTCAGCTCTCGATAGTCGATGCAAAGGCGGAAAGATCCGTCTTTCTTCTTAACGAATAGTACCGGGGCTCCCCATGGGGAGTGGCTGGGGCGGATGTAACCCTTATCGAGTAATTCTTGAACTTGATTCTTCAATTCTTTGAGTTCCACAGGAGCCATACGGTACGGAGCCTTTGAGATTGGTTATGTTCCCGGAATAAGATGAATTTAGAACTCAATTTCTCGATCGGGTGGTAGCCCGGGTAGGTCATCGGGGAAGATGTCGGGAAATTCTTGAACGACGGGAAGTTCAGACATCACCGGTTGAGGTTTTGAGCTGGTCTCCAGAAGGTCGACTAGATAGCCGATATGTCCCTTGTTGATGAGTTTGGTGGCTTTGATTGCGGATATTATGGGAATTAGAGTCTCGGTGTCGCTTCGAAACTCTAAGAGGGTGTGATTTGGGAGAGAAAAGCTTACGGTCTTTAGGGCGCAGTTGATTTGGGCCTTGAACTTGGTCAACCAATCCATTCCCATTATGAGGCCAAAGTTCTCGATTGTTAAGACGATGAGATCGAACTCATGGGTTGGGATTGAATTTGAATAGGACCATCCTTCACTACTTTGTCAGTGATCATTTCTTCGCCCGAGGGCATAGAGATGCGATACTCGTGGCTTACTTGAGTTGGTATTAGGCCAAGACGTACGCACACATTGGAAGAAATAAAGGAATGCGTAGAACCAGAATCAATCAAAGCATACACGGGTTCTCCAAGAATAAGAACGGTACCTGCGATCATCGTCGGATCTTGACGCACTTGTTCTCGGGTCATGGCAAACGCGCGGCCTGGGACTCGAGTTTGAGCGTTGGGGCAGTCTCTCGCCTTATGGCCGGGCTTTTTGCATCGAAAACACAACTCGGTATCCTTTACGCAGATCCCAAAGTGAGCCTTTCCGCAGTTCGAGCAAGTTGGCTTGGTCGTTGGTGCTACTGGTTTAGGGTTTGAATTTTGGACCTTCTTTCCTTTAAATTTGTGATTTCCAAAGTTGGCCTTCTTCCATGGTCGTGGTGTGGGCGGCTGGGGCCGTTTCCCTTGTTGAATTTCATTTTCGTCTTGAGCAGCCGTTAGTGCCTTGTCCACCATTTGGCGAAAAGTAGTGGCGTCGGACATGCGGATGTCCCTTCGAATTTCGGGTTGTGAACCCCTTGTGAAATGATTTTTCTTTTCCTCAACGTCCTTGGTGATGAATGGGGCGTACAAGCATCCTCGTTCAAATAACCGAACGTATTCGGTCATGGTGAGATCCCCTTGGCGGAGTTCCAAGAATTCCTTGAGTTTGTTGGCTCGAACGTCCTTGGAAAAGTATTTCTCGAAGAATTGAACCTTGAATGACTCCCATGACAAGTTCTCGAGTTCAACACCTTCCTTAGCTCCCTCCCACCAGTTACGGGCTTCGTTACGAAGTAAAAAGAGGGCACAGTGCACTCGTTCACGGTCATCCATTTGCATGTAATCAAAGATTACTTCCAAAGATTTGATCCACTCTTCGGCTACGACCGGGTCGGGATCACCGTGAAACTTAGAGGGTTTCATGCGAAGAAAACGTTCGTATAGACTTTGGGGATTTGGTTGAGGTGTAGGTGGGGTTTGTCGGCTTTGAAGGAGTTGTTGAATCTGATTGTGATGATTTTGCACTTGCTCGCGGATAAGGTTGGAGAGGCCGAGAATAACGTTAGCGGTGTCTGGGAGATTGTTTGTGGCGGCGGTGCTCCGAGATTGTCTTACTGTCATGTCTTAGTGCATGTTGCAAAAAATTTTAGATCAACAGAAAAATATAAAACACAAGTAAGCACATAATTACCGGACAGACCGAGTCTTCACGCTTCGAGGGTTCCGAATTCCGGTTCGATGCTCGTATAAAGTTTCTACAAATTTTGCTCTGATACCATGTCTGTGACACCCCCTAGTAATCGTATAGCAAACCGAGAGGGTTTGCCATGCACGGAAGCTTTAAATGTATTATATGAGTATTTAGATATATGGGTAGACTCCAAGGTTTAGCGAGCCGATTTTTTTCTCATGACCTAAGACCTAAAGACGGGGTTGGCTTCGGAAGAATTTTTGGCGAAATGATTTAGTGGGATGGAGGAGCATATGTCTAACTACTCGATTAATTCGTAATATAGACTATAAGTGGTGTCACCTTGATAAAGCATAGTAATAAAGGATTAGAGTCCATAATTAAAACAACATATTTGTTCTACATAAATGGACCATAGTTTAACAAAAAGGGGCCCATATTCGGAGGAATTAGCCTCCTTTACCACGGATAATAATACACATGAGCTACTACGGAAATAGTAATTGTCCTAAGGACAATATACACAAAAGATAGTACTACAAGCATTATAAGTAGATCCTCCATACGAGCCAAAAACCCGGAGTCGACTTCCCGAACCGTCGACTAGTCCAATCCGGTGGAGTGAGTAGCACTAATACCTGCAAACGGAGAATATCTATATGAGCTAACAAAGCTCAGTAAGGATATCGAAAGATACCGAGACTTGAAAATATAGTCGTACTACACATATTATATTATAGCCACACAAATGAAATAAAGTTAAATATAATGCACATTTTTAGCATTCAAAATTCGTGTACGTAAGAAAGCTTTTTCATTTTATCGGATCCGATGAGAAATTAACTTTCTTTACTTTAGAAAATAAGAAGATTATTCTGAGCCCGTTTTCGGTGGAATCAAACCACCCAACTGTAGTATCTATCGTTGGAATACCCCCCCCCCCCCCCCGGGCATCATGTTTAATTGTGACATACCTAAACTTGATTTCTCTCCTACATTTATTCTCTTCTTATTCCATAATTTTCTTTTCCGTAAGCTTTATATCTGTATCTATATATATATATATATATATATATATATATATATATATATATATATATATATATATATAGAGAGAGAGAGAGAGAGAGAGAGAGAGAGAGAGAGAGATGAAGGT